ATCGCTTGTCAGGCAAAGGTAAACATTGCATTTTTCGCAATGCGTCCTTGACCGTGAGTTGCATCCCGACAACCTGCATATTCGGGGGGTCTTCAGGGCATCCACGGTGGGCCAGTGGTCAAAGGAATCTAGCCGCTTATCTTCACCGGGGAGCTTTGCCACCTTGTAAGGCTGCTGAATCTGGCCATTTGAGTCATCGACCTCTTCCGCGGCTTCACTTCTTTTTCTTTTGGGTTTTGAGCAGAGAGCTTCAGCGACTGCCAGGCGGAAGTCGAGAAGGTCCATAGTGTCTCGCTGTGGCACAGCATTTGCCCTGCAGGCGTCACTGTATTCCATCCAACAGTTGGCAAGAGAGAGGTCGATCATGTGTAGGCTGACCTTTAAAGTCCATTTCCTTGTCTTGATAGCGATCCTGTAATATTCCAACAGCTGATCACAAATGTCGACGCCCCCCATGCACGCATTGTACCTTCGGACAATTGCCGGTGCTGGTACATCGATGTACTTTTTTTCCTGTTTTGACCAGCGCTTTACAGGTTCAACAGGACTGGCTCCAGTAGAAGTTGATGCAAGGGTCATGGCTCTGCTGTCCTTCCACTTGACTACAACCACATTTCCATCGTCACGGGTGTACCCCGCGTATTCTCTCTGCTTCATGGTGTTGTCACTTCGAAACCGAATGTTCTTAATTTGATTTGCCATTATTGTTCCTGTTCCTTTGATGCCCCTCTTTAGAAGCTCATCCAAGAGAGGGATCGTTGTGAAGTACCTGTCAAAGAAGATGAGGGACCTCTCGGGCAGAGTTTGCACAAGTCTCCAAACAACATTAGGACCAAGGCCAAGTGCTGTGTCAGCAAGAGGGGTTGATTTCCCTCGATATATCTCATAGTCCATCACCAGGCCTTTGGAAATGGTCGCAACAAAATTTTTGAGTCCCACTGGCCGTGGTTTCCCTTTGACGAACTGTCGCAGAGAGGACCTTCCCGTGAAAGGTATCATCTGTTCATCAATGGAGTAGGAAACAGGTTTCCTCTCCAGCTTATGGCAACATTTTCTGACAGCATCAATTATTGGCTGCACTTTCCACAGTCTGTTCTCGTCTGGTTCTGCGGGTGGCCTCTCCGTGTCAACGAAGTGGAGGCATGTTCTTAGCATCTTGAACTCTTCACGTGCCATGACACCATGACACTGCTCACCAGCTCGAGCTGAAGCCCCCTTCGCCAGTACATGTGTATGTGCGGAAAGCGGAGACAACCCATTATAATGTGCATGCCAAACAGTTGCTTGATCTTGTGTGAAGTCACCTTCAGAACCTTTCCTGTCCGAGACATGTGGTACATACTTGTCTTCTCAGCAGCATTCTCGAAGAACTCGTCGTCGAAATGTCGCACAAAGTAGCTCGACGGTGTGCCGACAGTAGGGGGCTCATGGTCCTCTTCACTTGCTGGAAGCTGATGCAGTTTTTCAGTGAAGGTCTTTCCATGAAACGTTTCTGGTCTTTTTCTTCAATGTCGCACTTAACGATGAAGGCGGGGGAAAGAACCCTTTTAACGTTGAAGGAACCGGGGTGGCTTCCTCGTTTTCTCCTTCATCATCACTGCTGTTTGCATCTGGAGCATGTAGCTGCCAATCGGGGTCGTCGCCATCACTGCTGTCACAATCGATGTCAGACGACTCGAGAATCTTGAGTATTTCCTCCATGTCAGCGTCATGTTCAGGATTTAATATTCCTAGAAATAAAATAAAATAAATCTAAGTAACAAGCATTTTTTCATGGCGACGTCAAATGGTGTTTTTGTCGTCATACATGCCCAACCCACACAAATGTGCGGGTGGCTGTTTTGAACGTGCTCGGCACCTCTGTGCGATATTGATATGGCTATTTGTACGCCTAATGCCGTTTAGCGGGTCTCGGGATTGCTTTCTAATTCCTAGTTCTGAAAATGCACAAGAAAAGAAAGCAAAATGATGCACTTAGTTTTCAAAGGCGGCCGGCATGCGTCTCTCGAGGAAAGTGCCATTTTGGAAAAGGTCCAACTAGCCCCCTTGCGGCGCAAACCGGGGACTACTCGTTTCAATTTATTCCACGCACCCACACAAACGTGCGGGCTGGGTCGGAACACCTAGATTTGATAAAGGTAAAACAAATTCTATTTGAACCCGCACGTTTGTGTGGGCAGGGCAGGAAAGGGATAAACAAAAGCGAGAAACAGTTTCACACATACCGGTCTAGTTGACTCAGAGTTCTACTGTATTTTCCAAGAAGATGCATGTAAGAGGCACTAAAATAATTACATGTACGAAATTTAGGCCTTTAAATTTAAAACAGCACTGTCTAGGAGTTTCTATGTACATGGGCGTCTGCAAAGCTGATGGGACCATAAAGCTTCATGGCATTTGTATCAAACAGGTATGTAATCCCTAGTTGCATCAGGTGACAGCATGAGAATAGAACGTTTTGCAGGCCCCAGCTATTATTACAAGTAAGAGCCTGCCTACAATAATGTTTTAATGGTTTCTGGTAGTGATCGATTCAATCTACTGTGCTTACTCTATCCTAAACCCTTTTAATGTATGTCATATATTGCATGGAAGTGTGAAAACATTTCCATGCAATCCTCATTTTGGAGGCCGATGGGGACATCCGCAATCTCGTTCTTTGCAAGGGTGTCCTGCTCAGCAACTGAAAAGCAATTCCACATTAATTGAAGTAATGACAGTTTAAAGTTTCTGTGTTTGTTCATTAGCACAAATGCAAACAGGATCATGTTAATAGTTGATTAAAATTTTCTATTCAAGGAGCGTCGTGATGCTTTTTGCGAGCCCCTCAGTGGTGGCACATGCAGTAAAACATCTGGTAGAACCTTAATAATTTGATTTCGGTTAATTCGAAATCCCGGATAATTCACAATATTTCCACGGTCTTGTAACTTTTCATGACATGTGATCAGAAATCAATAAATTTGAAATATCTTATATATCTTCCCTCTGATTTTTGACAGTTGGCAGTCTGCATATTCGAACGGTATTAAAAATACTGACGAGCACTTCCAACTATGTCGCTCGCTGCACAGTATACGCTCTAACAAATGATTACAATAAACATACTTGTTCAACACATCTTGCAACGTCAAATAACGTATCACAAATTACATGCACTTAATATTGTTTCCTGCTTTCCCTTTGACCAACCAAAACTAGAAACCTGTACCTTCCGTTGTGTACGCCTTCGCTCAAGACAGTGACAATTCGCATAATTGCCACACAAACTGAGTTTTTAAAGGGTTGAACCCGCACTCCGGATGTATGACTCGCCCGTTAGCCTGATGATCTCGGCATCGTAGTAGTCGCAACGCGTGTTTCCGTCCCCGTCCCTAAAGACTTTATAAACCTTCTTCCACTCAAAGCCAGTGATGTTGGTTGGGTGAAAGTTTTTCACGACAGCCTTGTGGACTATGCACATCTTGCCATCTTGAAGAATTTTGACTTTAGCGTACATACTCATTGGGAGAGAAAGAAGAGGAATGAAACATACAGAAAAACAAAAAAAAAAACAGGAAAGATGCAGAAGCACGTCACAGTAGGGGGGGGGCGGTACAGTAGCAGATGCGAATGCGAGGGAACACACGAAGCACCAATCCAGCACGAAAGCAACATGGAAACCATGGCCACCATCGGTCGCACATTGCTTGCACACATTGCCCCATCATTGCACCACATTGCGACATCGCACACGCGGGAATACGGAGAGTGACGGGAAGACGACAACCCGGATATATTAGTCACTGACAGTTGAAGAACGGTGTTCGAACCGGAGAAAGGGAACCAGTCAGTAGCTTGGAGCGATGTGAACGTCCCTCCTCCCCGCTCCAGGCTTTCGTGCTTTCTTCTCTTGCCAATGGCACAAGTTGGATTTGGATCTGGATGCTTTGTGGTTGTGAAAAGATTGATTATGGCGAAGTTGGCGAAGATATTCAAATTTGTTTTATAATTTCAAAACAGGTTTTGAAACTCCGAAGCACAGTTCAATCTGAGCACGCCTGTCATTGAGGTGTGCTGCATTCTCAGGGCGAATGAGGTTTTTTTCCCGGTGGATCTCGCGACGAGTGCGTCGGATGGTTTTTATTTTCACCCTGTATAATGTTGGAAATATCTACGAAAGAAACTTCTCTATGGGGTACGAGGGAGAAGTAAAGCCCCCCTTCATGTTTTAAAAATAGTGCATCAGTTCTATATGGGAAGGGGGGGGTGTTTAGTACGAAAGAACAACACATGCGGAAATAGGACACAACCATACACAGCAACGTAATAATAAAACACCTGAATTCATGTCAAAAGGAGACCCATTCAGAGGCAAAGATGCATTCGATGATGCCTTAGCGTTCAAGTTTGAAGATCTAAAAAACCGTGTGGCAAAGCGTTATCGGGAGATGACGTAACTTTAACTGGACAGGTGGGACAGTGTGTCGCACCTTCGCTATATGAGTGTGCTTCCGTACTAAACCCAGCTTTCGTTTAAACGGATGTTCGAAGTCTTTGAAACAAGGCGTCTACTTTATTTTGCTTTTTGTATCAACTTGACTGCAGGTAGTTTGATTCAAGGTGGAGACATGCAATCTGGTGTCAATTAGAAGATGTAATGGGCAACCGTTTACCCTAGCGTCAGCGAGGAATGCATTCAGGCGGCTGGGATTGCCGGCTTGGCGGGACGTGGCTTGACCGGGCACCTTGACCGGGCACCTTGCTGGCCGTGGGCCTCCACACTGCATTGGTCCTGTCCAGCTGCAGCGGCCGCCGGAGGAGGATTTCTTCGGAACGCCTGGTTGTCATATTGACGACCCTGGAACTGGCCTCGGGCCCGAGTTGGGAACGAAGCAGGTTGCTGGTCGCCTCGAAAAAGACGACTGCGGTAGTCGACAGCTGTGGCTGACCACAGCAAAGTATCCCATCTCAGCACTAAGGAAACACTGGGCCAGCTGGGTAGGGCAGATGTTGGGGCTTGGCTCAGCTGCCCGCAGAAACATCAGGGGCTGCCGGTTGTTTCCCACTCCCACAGACGAGGAGTAGGTGCGTCCTGTCCATGGGGTCTCTCAAAGTAACTGGTTCGCGCCGGTGAATGCAGCGCGTGACTGCAGGGCATCCTAGCACCGCTCGCTGCTGGCGATGAGGTGTAGCGATGGTAGACTGTGGGACTGGGCTCTTCATACTGCACCGGTTTACTATGATACATTCGAAGGAGCTATGGATACAAGGTGTGCGATTTCAGAAGACAGTGAGCATGGACGAAAAATTTCTGCGGCAGTTGCTGCACGTGGCAATCGGCGATGCCTTTGTCGATACTCGGCTCTACACGGTGTAGGCAAACCAGAATCCAACCGACAGGTTGAAAATTTGGAGTTGAAGCGAGACATTTTAAATCCAATATAGCGCATTCGAATCTAACGTCCTCCCCAAACCATGGCCAAGATGGCGGCATTTTCGAAATTTCATACATACATACATACATTTTATTTCCTATTTTTAACATGTTACAATCTGAAATGAAAATGAAATTTGGGGCTCTGGCATGCTCAATAGTTTCATTGTAATAGTGTACATATTCAACTCTGTTTTCAGAGTTAAAACCAAGATCAAACCAAAACTTCTATAATACTAAGGTCAATTTTAACGTTTGTTTATAATGTGAGGTGGAACAAATCACAATAAACAAAGTATCTATAATAATAGACACTAACACGTCTCGGCCAATATGCTGTCACGTCCCTCAGCCAAACATTCCAATAGGCTCGTTGGTGCCATAGCTTTGTGTTGGGCAAGTTAGGGTGAAATGCAGTATAGCACTTTTGCAACGCCCTGTAATGCAGAGCTCGGTGGGTACAGGGGGAGTCGACCTAGTTCCTGTAGCGGTTCACCTCATGTACAAATGTGACCAGAAAATGCTCCTGCCACCCAAGAATGAAGGTCGACAAATTTCCCAGCATACAGTCTCCGATTTTCTTCTTGTGGCCCAGATGATGAGCTGCCTCTTGAGTTTTCTCACCTTATCCCCCTGGTTACTGATGGTCCATGTCTTGGGTGTCTGGCCCTTGGAGCTTGCCTCCACACGTTTGTCGCCCTCGTGGTATTCTCTTTGATTTTCCGAGGAACCGTCGTACTGGGACAAGAAAGTAACAGCATGCACTGAATGGACGAAGTGAGACACACCTTAGAACTACTGTTCGTCTTACTGTTTGAGGTTCCAAGCAGAGAAATGATGCCCGGAGCTTGACGATCGGCGGCTTGACGCGTGTTGAACGACAGGTGCGAGATGCTGCCATACCCACAAGGTATCCTGAAGAGACAATTCATGCGCGGATCCCAGAAACTGTGTTGTTCGAGCAACACTGTTTTTAGAGGTACCTTCCCATTTATTTCTTTCGAGGTGCATTTGTCTGACTAGGCAATTCAGAAGTATGTTCAATTTACCCAGTCCACTTGCTTGGCCACTTTGCTAAATTTGGTACATTCATATTTTAAAGTAATGCAGATTAAAAAAAAAAATGTTTTTCTTAAAATATGTTTATATTTCGATGCCAACTTTCCTTTTATAATTTCACAACTTGGCAGACCCCAGATTCGCTCCTGATTAACATCCTTTGCCACAATATTTTTGATTTTGCCAGTAAAGTGGTGTGAAACTTTTGATGCGTGGAAGTTGCCAAATCATTAAGCGTGAACTAGCAATTCATTACGTTGACCGTTTTACAAGTCTCGTCTCACGTACATACTTCCAAGAAATTAACTTGGCCACATACACTACGTTCGACAAAATCAATTGTGTCCTGCCTGATTCGGAGGATAGCGCGAACACTTAAAAAATGTTTGTACCCATCGGTAACGAACTTGAAGCAAAATTTCAGAATCTCGAACCGCCAAGTGAGTCCCCTTTGGCTTCTTGCCTGAGGAGGCCCATTTAGAACACATTCACTGCGTGATTCGGTAACTCACGTGACATTAAAATGCCAGGAGAGGATCCAACCGAAAGGGAAATACTTGGAAAGAGACATTCGCAGAACAGGAACACAGACAATGCCATCAACGCGACCGGCAAAGTTTAAAAACATGACTTTCGTTAGGGCAATGAGCTTCTAACCTTCTAAAGCTAGCAGTTACTGCTCGATTTTTCCTTTTCACATTGGTTTATCATTAAAATCGGGGCTTATTATGTTTTCTAAAAATAATAACATCAACATGTAGTATATAGATAATCAAAATTGAACATAACAATCAGCAGAAAAGGATCTTAATAACCTCAAGTGGTTTCCTGTGGCGTTAAGTGGTTCTCACCTCGTGAAGTTGTCCTTAAAGGGGCGGTGCAACAATTTCCGAACTTTGGTTAATTAATTGCGGGAATTGATCCCGGCCACATATAAAACAAAGGACCGGAAAGTATTCTTTCCTGCTTGCCCTAGTTTTTATTAAAAAAAATAAAAGAAATTGGTATCTCCGGCACCCCTCATTTCAACTTTGAAGCGGCACCAGCTTCGCCTGTGACGTCATTCGGAGTGGCGCTGGTTTCCGGTTGGGTTCTTTTGGCTTCCGTTTCCCCAGCGCTTGCCGGCTCGCCAGGCTCGCCGCTCGCCGCTCTCCCGTCGATTCCCGACCAACATGGCGGCACGGCGGAAGTCGAAGTCAAAGTCGAGGTCGAGACACCAGGAACAATAACGATACCACGATACTACGGACCACGAACAACGCACTCCGTCGAGCGAGGGAAAGACAAAACGTCCGGGTTGCTCGTGTAGCCGCCGTAGGCGCCTCGGGCGTCGACGAATGACGGCGACGGCAGGTTTTGTTGACTTGCGGTAGATGGCGCCACAAATAATTCATACGCTTTTAGCGACAATATTAGGCTTTTGAAGCGTTTCTGCATGCCTAAACAACAAGATTTTTTAAGCTTAACCTTAAATCAGGCTTACAATTGCCTAACACTATCACTTACAAAAACCACTCCGAATGACGTCACACCACAGGTTCCATTTGCGGCCACCATGTGGCCGCAGGTTGGGAAAAAAAAGGGTTTTTTATTTTGCGATTACGCAGCGAAATAGAGGTATTTTGGGGTATGGTGGCACTTTTTCTCTTACTTATGCCGAAGTAAACAATGTAAAAAATACAAGCTGCATATTCGTTCAGTGTTAAAATCATTGCACCGCCCCTTTAAAGGGAAACTCCACTCAGTTTTTGCTACTGAGAAAACAATGTCATTCTATTCAGTATAATCTAGAAAGGCTACAAGTTAAATATTGGGATTGAATTCCGTCTAAATCCTTATTAAATTGGCCATAAAAGTTGTACAGGTGCAAAACTAACAATATCAGCTAACTGTAGCGGGAACGTGAGGTGCAGCCAACACTGCATTTTCACTGACCTGCTTCCGTTGCCAGCGACGTCTATTGGCGAGGAGATCAAATTCTAGGAGGCACTGCATTCACCGAAACAAATACCGCCTGCATGGAAAACAACTTCAGCGTTCCAGTGTGCTGTCGTTGGCTGCCGTGTTGTTGCCGCGTTCCGTGCAGGTTTGTTAGAATATAGTACGCTCTTGTTGCATACTGCAGTGCTCAGCGTATGCTTTAGAGCCTGGAATCAGTTTTCATTGACTTCCTGTCGAAAAAAGCTCAAATCGCAGTGGATAAGTAGGGAAGAAGTTGACTGTGCACGACGCGGTGTGTGGGCGTCACTTTTCAAGCGATGCCTTCCAAGCAAACTACGCTAATGGACGAGGCATGTACGTGCGTAAATCACGCTTGCATCGACATTCGTTCAAACCGTACATAGTAAATGTTCTGCCGACAATCAACACAACAAACCGAAAAAAAAAAAAAAAAAGTTGCCGGTAGTTGTTTCTATTGGGTTTTGTATAAAAGGAATAGTCGAAACGGGAACTTCTAGTCCTGGGACTAGCTCATGGGAAGGGTGTCCGTTTCACGTGTCGTGGGTTCCAGGTTCAAATCAGAGTAGGCAAACCTTTTTTTTTTTTTTTTTTTCGTGAAACATTTCACGATTTATGTATATATATTTTTTTAGAATAATCATTGCCGTCTGAAACTCCCGGCAATCTTTTTTTCCCGAGTGGTTGTGCCGGCTACCGAAAAATATCCTCCCCCCATTTTATAACAGTGCACAAGAGGAGGTTCTTGGTACGCAATGCCGTTCCATCAGAGAATTTTTCGAAGGGATAACACGACCAAGTCGTGAGTCTTTGGAAGCCACCGAGAGGTACTGCTATCATTTGATCACTATTTTATTCCAGGCTAGCTTTTACACTGGAGCATATTAGGTAGTGTCTCGCGGGGAAGGAGCGACCAGCCACACCGGAGTCTGGAACCCAAGTGTTTTATTCTCACCTTTCTCGAACTAAAGATAACCCCGAGCATGCGCACTAGCATGGACGCGTTGCCGCGGGGCACGCGAGTGAGAACTGTCGTGTCATCACTACATTTCCCCTCCTAAGCTTTACAAGTCCAGACGTACCGGTCGCCTAACTTGGCGGCCCGACCAAGTCACTCTTATCGGCGTATTGTCTGCCATCGACGTGTCCGTCGACGTTAATGTTGAAGGGGAGTTTGTCAAGTTTGTCGGCGCTGTTGTTGGTGCAGGCTGAACTGCGGTCGGCTGTTGTTGGCTCCCTGCACCCGGACTTGCTCTTACCGTTGAGATCGCTGAACTGGCTGGAGCCGTAGTCTCATTGGTCGAACCGCCGGGATCCGGAGCGTCGAAGCTTGCCGGAGACGCATCGAATGGTACCAGGTGCCGGCGGTTGCGTTGCAGGACTCCTGTCCCGGTCTCGACTACGTAGGAGTGCAGCCGCTTGGCTGGACTGAGGACTGTTGCTCGGCACTGCACGTCTTGTACCCACACGTCCTCTCCTACGGACAGCGGGCGAAGTTGGCGAGCGGCGTGACGGCGATTGAAGTCCTTTCGCTGGCGTCTTCGGGCCTCCCCGTCTTTCCTTTTGAAGTCCCGACGGGATGGCCACCCCGGCTGCAACGTCTCTAGCATCTTCGCTACCTTTGCAACCGTCGGCCCATTAGCAGTTGGGACCATAGGTCGGCATTTTAGAGCCCCTTCATTCAGCATCACATCACAAACAAAATCACGTCTCCAAATTCATTCGCATTCACGTCGCAAGGTACTCCGACATTCCAAAGTCACGGCCCTTAACATCCTGGCGTTGAACCACGCCAAAACCTCATCCCCTTCACATCATGGCGTTCAACCACGCCAAGAATTTATCCCCTTCACATCATCGCCGCCTCCGAAATCACGGAGTCATTCACAATCACGTCACCAATTCCCAAAGTCATTCACCATCACCACGAATTCACAATTCACCATTGTGAATTTATCGGAATTCACCATCACATCATGAATTCATCCGAATTCACCATCACCTCACAAATTCATCCGAATTCACCATCACCTCACGAATTCATCCGAATTCACCATCACTTCACGAATTCATCCAAATTCACCATCACTTCACATAGTCACCCGAATTCAACATCACATCATGAATTCATCCGAATTCACCATCACATCACGAATCCATCCGAATTCACCATCAAATCATGAATTCATCCGAATTCACCATCACTTCACGAAGTTATTCACCTTCACGGTCAACACAAATTCACCGAAATTCCCCATGACATCATTAATTCTGCATAATTCACAAACTCACTCGGGTTCATTCCGACTAAATTCGACTTCACGGCTGGTAGCCCTTTACGAGTTCGCAGTTCTTGCGGACTAGGACTGGTGGCGCCTTTTTGTGTCAGCCACTTGAAACCAGGACCTGACTCAGCCAGGGAAGTGGGGTATTTTGAGTGCGTGAAACACAAACCACCTTGATTAAGCGCCAACCCAGCCAATGCCGCGCTGCGATCGTGTCATGTGAATGTGCTCCGTGCGCCGCCGCGCAGAACCGGCAGGTCACGTGATATGGTCTCGGCGCCGGATTAGGTGCGCCTGCTCGTGACGTCGGCTTCGTCTCTTTTGAAACGACATATGGCTGCGCCGCGTAGACAAAGCGGCGCCTGCTGCTACTAGTGCCCGCGCACAGTGCGGCTGCGCCACGCACGACTCACAATCGAAACGGCACAGCGAGAGCCGTCAGGGATTCCGGACAATATGCTCCGAGGTACGGAAGGGCAAGGTCGGCAAGGAGCTCAATTTATTCACGAGGAACCGCTAAGAACAACGGCAAAATTAAATGTCAAGTGCCAAAGGAAACGACTAGTCCCCCCCCTTCCCCTTCATTGCCGCTGTAACCGCACTTTCCTTATAAACAGCTGTTACTACGGAAGTGCTCGACAAAGGGCCACCGCGCTGAGGCGCGCACAGCTACGCAGCGAGACTGGTGCCCAAACCGCTAAAGTCAAATGGGTTCTTGTGGTTTGCGGTGAAGGATGAAAACAACCGGCCAGCAGGCAAGCAAGCACCTGCGTAGCACGTTTTCTACTTCTTCTGAATTCATAACCATATTCACTATCATGTCGAGAATTAAGTTCACGGTATTACTCCCATCACAAACTTATCAAGTTTACGAGCCTCGCACATCCCAAATTCATTGTGTTCACGAGCCATTCACCATCACGTCACGAATTCATTCAGTCATTCACATCACAATGAATTCTATTGACTTCACGAAGTCCTTCACAATCACAACACATCATGGTTAATTCAAATTCACGAAGTCATTCACCATCACATCACGACTTCATTCAACATCACATGAATTCATTCAAATTCACAGTCATTCACCATCACATCACGACTTCATTCAACATCACATTACGCATTCATTCAAATTCACAAAGTCATTCACCATCACATCACGACTTCATTCACCATCACATCACGACTTCATTCACCATCACATCACGACTTCATTCACCATCACACCACGAATTCATTCAAATTCACGAAATCATTCACCATCACATCACGACTTCACGACTTCATTCACCATCACATCACGAATTCATTCAAATTCACGAAGTCATTCACCATCACATCATGAATGTTTTCAAATTCAAGAATTCATTCAGAGCAATTCAGATTCACGCCGTGAATGTGAATCAAGGTGAATGAGCGAGTTCATGAATGAATTTGCCGAGGTATGGTTGGGACAGGCTTTAACCGGTCATTCCAGGGGTGTCTCGATACACCAGGAGGGCCATGTGCGGGTCTCTTGACTTGTAGAACAGCTCTTTTATTGTCCGCACCATACGCTCCGCTTCCCCATTCGCCTGTGGGTAGCGTGGGCTGCTCGTGACGTGCTGGAAACCGTAGCTCTGGGCGAACTCGGCGAATTGTCTCGAAGAGAACTGCGGCCCATTGTCCGATACCAGCACGTCGGGGATCCCAAACCGGGCGAATGTACTCTTGACTGCTGCGATGACGGACGTTGACGTCGTCAATGTCAGGCTGATGACCTCTGGGAAGCGGGAGTAATAGTTCACGACAAGCACTTGGTTTTTCCCCTTGAGCTCGGACAGATCCGCACCGAGTCTCTGCCAGAGACGACTGGGAGTCGGTGTGCTGATGAGGGGCTAGGAGCGCTGTACTCTTGTTTGGGCGCACCGCTCGCAGGCTGTCACAAGTTGCTCCATTTCGCTGTTTAGAGTAGGCCACCAAACAGCGTCCCTTGCTCTTGCCTTGCAGCGTCCGATGCCCTGATTGCCTTCATGTATCAGCTGCAGTATCTCATGTCTTACCTAGATTGTGGAAACCAGCTGAACTTACAGAAAAGGGTGAGGAGAGAAAGGAGAAAAGGCATCCGATCGCTGGATGCAATGGAAAGGAGCTCAGCTCCTTCCCATTGCAAGTATCTCGTGTTGCAGCGAGCGTGGAATGAAGATGCGGCGGTCTTTAAACTGACATATAAGCTACTGCCTATCTCCTTAACAGAGTGGATTTTGGGCTCTTAAAGAGTTGCAAGACCCTTGAGCCTGAAGAAGGCATTCAGATGGCAGTATTATCCTGTTCATGCTTTGGGTGGGTTTGCCTATATGCATGTGTATGTCTTCCTCTCTGCAAGGGTTTCGAAGATGAAGTGTGTTATACTCGGGATAGTACCCACTCTTTATAAGGGGTGACATAACCTAGGCCGCCCCTCGGTCTTCTCCCTATTGGCAGCAAGTTCTGTGACCTCCCTACGGTTAAGAGAAGTCCAAGCTTAGTAAAATTACAGAAGACACTACAAATATCAAGCATTCTGATGCGTGGTACTAAAGAGATTCTACTGTGAGTACTCTGAACACAGTGGTTTTAAAAATGCAGACTACATCGTTCACAGCTTCTTTGATGGAACGGGTTGTCTTCAAGCGACAGAGGCCAGAGTTGATATCACATCTCTCTTAACTTTCTTTCTTTTGCGGTTTTAGCAACATTTCTGACACAAATAGGTTTTATCAAGTGAATGTAAGGGCGCGAACGAGCTGGTTTAGATTGAGCATCACCTTAACTCTTAGACTGCAGGCAAAAACAGCACAAACACTAAAACGTTGATACCTTTTAGTGTCGCTTTTGCCTTTGTGTCATTTTTTCTGGCCGTCTCGGTGCCTATGTCATGTTCAATTAAGTTTTCTGTTTGGATTTACTGTAAAAAAATGTCAATAGATGTCTCAGTCTTTTGAGGAATTTCCAGCTTCCTTTGATGTCTTTAAAGGAGGACAAATGCAAACATATGACACACAGATTGCGTACCTGTTATGACTACCGTATTTACAGGAATGTAGGTTGACCATTTTTTCAATTTTTAAAAATCTGAAGTGGGGGGTCGACTTGTAATCGAACCAAAGCCTTCCACCGCCGGCAAAAACGAAACAACCGCAATGTCATGAGCAGCTCGGCGTACCCCTAGCACTGTGCTATTTTGTGCACTCATTTTACAAATTAATTATTTTTTATTTGTGCAAACGAGCATTAATAATAGCGATTCACAAATTAACCCGAATGTACGGCGGTGAACAGCGCACGGCGCGCCCGACTCTCGTGGGGTGGCGGCACTTCTTGTAAGAGTCACCCCGTAGGCCGCTGAAGGCTGGCAGTTGCAGGTCTTGGATGGTCTTTTCCAAGCGGCTGAGTCGAGCCGCTATATCCTGGGAAGGTGCGGCTGCTGCGGGATCCGATGCTCGTGATTGAAAGCTGGCCGCGGCGACAACCGGGGGTGTGGAGTATTCTGCAACACGATCCGCCAGATCAGCCAGGCGCTCCAGGGGCATGTCCTCACTTGCTGCGAGCACGACGACCATGTTGTGGGGCAAGCGCTGCAGAAATAGCTCACGGAGGAGCGATGTTTCAGCATTCGAAGTGGCGTCGCCCAGAAGTTGTCGCATCCGGCGCAGTAGCCGGGAGGGACGCTGGTTACCAAGCTCCTTCATGTTGAGGAGATGCTGGAGGCAGCTGCGCTCCGACGTGGTCTTCCGGGCGAGGATAGCGGCCTTGAGGTTGTCATACTGGTTGGATGTCGGCGCCGCCGCGAGGATGTCCTCTAGTTCATCGGCGACTTCAGCTGGCAGCGAGGAGACGACGTGAAGATATTTAGTCGCTTGCGAGGTGATGCGATGCAGCAGAAATTGCGCCTCAACCTGCGCAAACCATACCTTGGCGTTCTTCGTCTGAAATGGAGGCAGCTTGATTCGAATTGCCGCTAAAGATCCCGTCGGAATGGTGTCCCCAGCAGCAGACTGTTTGCTTTCGGAAATGGTTGGAAAATTGCCGGGAACCATGAAGGAGTCGCTCATCTGGGGTCACCAATTTGTAGGGATGTGTTCCGAGATTTTGAGGACGCGAAGGAAAAAACGTCCGACTCCGTGATTGTACAAATTGGTTCTGTGGTTTTATTATCCGTCTGAAGACAACTGTGCCGACTGCGCACGGAGGGAAGAAACCTGACCCTTGAGCCCGGCCGGTGCGCCGAAGTGTTTACTCGAATGCGCACCGGAGAACCAGATGGAGCGCGCTAGGGTGCCTCGACGTCCGAGATTAACATATGGCGGAGACGGAGCGCCTTGACGTCTGAGATAAAATATATGGCGGAGGCCGCCACATGCGCATCTAAAGATTATTTTTTTTTTTTGCTGATATGCAATGTGGGGGGGGGGGGGTCGACTTATAATCAAGTCTGCGGCTCGTTCTGGGTGATTGCTCGGCCACGGCAGCAAAGTGCGGCAGTCTGGGACTAGGCAAAGTTTAGGAATTTGATCAAGGCGAAAGCCTTATATGTCGATCCCATTACACGAAAGGGCAGCGTCGGCATTGTGCCTGAAAGATGGCCATAAAATCCCAGTCCAGTGTGTCCTGGTGCAATCCCAGTCTACTCATGCCTGCTTTACCGAATTTAAATGCCAAATAAATTTCTTTGAATGCAGCATCTTGCAAGAACAGCACTGCAATCTTTTTGAAGGCTGAGCTGTTTATTCAGCCAGTTGTGCTGGTGCCCTGGGCCACTTGTGCTGTGGTTCGCATGGTTTCTGAATCACCCGAATCCCAATCTTTGATGACATGGCTACCTCCAGGTCCTTATGGCTCAAGCCTCAGCACAATGCCAGCAATAGTTTACAAAACATGAAAGACGTTTACAGTTCTCTATAATGCCGAATTAGAGCGCAGCTATTGAGGAGGAGGAGGGGAAGGTATGCTCTCCTCCACCTCCATACCCTCCCTTTCTCCTCTCCTGCTCTCCCATTTAGCGTGAAATTTTCGTTTAATTTCCCTCCAAATTTAGCGAAAATTTTCCCAATAAATTTAGCAGAGAAATATTCCCACTTAGTTTAGCAGGAAATTTATCGAAAATTTTAACGCTAAATTTAGCAGGAAATTTATCGGGGAAATTGAATTGGCCTTGGAGGTCATGTGACGTTAATTTCCCCGCTAAATTTAGCAGCGCGAAAATTTTCCCACTAAATTTGGTGGCAAAATTTCCCCACTGAATTCAGCAGAAAAATTTCCCTACTAAATTTAGCAAGAAAATTTGCCTGCTAAATTTAGTGGGAAAATTTGCCTGCTAAATTTAGTGGGAAATTTTCCCCACTAAATTTAGTGGAGAAATTACCTTGCTAAATTTAGGAAAAAATTTTCCTGCTGCATTTAGTGGGAAAACTTTCCCGCTAAATTTTAAGCGGAAAATTTTTCCCTCTAAATTTAGTAGTAAAATTTTCCTTCTAAATTCAGCAGAAAAAATTTCCTTGCTACCTTTAGCGGGGAACGTCCTATAATGCAATGCACGGTTACGTCGACGCTGACTGCGACGCTGCTCAACCCGGAAACGGGTGCCTAAGAGCGCGTGTTTTAAAATTCACTCTTGAGATCAAGCAAACAAAACAGGTTTTAATATTGATTTATAGCATCCTGTCGTGTCACCAATTCGTAACAAGTATTTCTGCCAAACTACAAGGACAGGAAACAAAACAGTTGTGCAATCAACCTCTGGCTTCCTGTTGACAGACCTCTCATGACATCTGGTTCAATATTTCTGGCCCTGCTGGCACGTTGAAAACACTACCATCTTCGCAACGAGGCGTGTGAATTGCTCGGTCGTTACTGTTTTACCGTGTTGTACAAGCGACGTATCAATCAGAATTTCACGACTTTACTCCAACAAAATGTCCTCTTCTTACCTAGTTGAAAGAACCGGCGACAAATGCTACCGGCAAAAGCTGACAATCGCAGGCCAGGAGCTTCGAGATCCATTAGATGCTGCTATTCAGAAACACGTCTTCACCATAGATGCTCGCCAGTGGCCGGGACTAGAAATTGGCAACATCTATATCTACCTTGTGGAGGGGTCCATGCTTGGACCCCTCCACGAGGTAGATATAGATGCAACTGCCTTCAAGAGTTACATGTAGATATAGATTGCAACCGTCTTCAAGAGTTACATGCTTGAAGACAGTTGCAACCTGTTTTTGAGTGGTAGGGTTCATGCTGTTTGCTTATTTGGGGCTACGACAGGGAGCACAGGCATCATTCTCGTCACCATGAAAGTGGAAGCTAGTCAAACCTTCGGAGGGTACCACCAGCCTTGGGCCATGGTCAAAAAAGAGGGCACAGTCCTAAGTGTCCACAGCACTTGCATGGCAGAGTGAGTAGCTTGTTTTTTCCTTTCATTTTGATTGCTTTCTGATCGCAGCAACACGGCCCCTCCCATTTAAAATCATTTTGTGCCTACAGGCTCAGCGAGGCCTGCAGTCACGTAGCTGCGCTCTTGCTTTGCGTCGAAGGTGACGTCAAGTTTGGTATTAATGACCCAAGCTCGACTTCTGTCCAATGCCGCTAGTTGACAGCATATTCCACTGCATGGGTGTGCATTTAGTAATATGCTTCCGTGGTTTTTTACCTTTTTCACAAATTGCCACGTAATAACTTTTGCACAAAGTTCTTTCAATTTTTGCTTTAAAAACATTCACACATCTTTGAATAATTCAATAAAACAAATATTTTATAATTTTACCATAAAGTTACGAAAGAACGCCCACCCAAAGTTTTGCTGTGGTGATGCCAGAGCAAAACTTTATTGTAATTGTAATTATAATTGATTTCCACAGATGGCAATGTACGTGGCTAAGCAGAAAGGATACAACCCTTATGCATATGCGCCTGCTAGTCAACTGCCACATACACTATTGACGAAAAAAAGATCACACACGAGAGAAGCAAGAGCAAAAGAACACAAGAGGATCTCGATGCCACTCAAAGGGAAAAGAAAACGCAAAGTTCTTGAGACTCCTTGTTTGAAGTTGGCAGGGGGCTTGAGGTGGGTAAGAGAATAGTTAGGAAGTCTCTGTCAGCTTCATGGGTTCACTATGGCGGATGGTTCTGCCGCGGAGCTACTCGGGTTGCCCAGTTTTACTCGCCCGCACTGCAGAAGACAAGGGGGTTCCCGAAGGCGGCCCATCGAACACCCGACAAGGCCTGCATACCCGCGACGTACGTAGCCTCTCAACAAGGGTCACCACTAAGGGCTCCGAGACGTGTGCCATACGAGCTGGCGAAGGTGATGGATGACTGGCCAGAGATGATGCACGTAGCACAGTGCTGCACACTCTCGAGGCACTCGCAGTGGCGCTGTTGGTCTGGGGACTAGATTGCCGAGGATTGCCATAGTGGGGAGCACAAGTGCTGTGTAAAGCATCCGCAGCACTATTGGCCTGCATAATTTGGCCACGTGCTTTATACCCAGCGTCCGTCAGATCCTGGAGACGACACTCAAAATATGGGCAGAAAAGTCCAGATTGCTTGCGAGTGTGACACCCAGAATATTGACTGAATTCAAGACAGCAAGTGGGGGACTGGCCAGTGTGTAGACAGGAATGTCACTCTTTTTGCTGTTGGTGAAATGGACCACGGTAATTTTTGACGGACTTATTTGGTGGAGTTATAGGCAAGGGGGGCTTTCTTTTTATCGTAATAAACTTTACAAACTTAACTACCACACGCTGTGTTTTGTTTTTCTCGAGTAAATACCATTTTCCAAGACACGGGAATCTCTACAAAAACGTGGCTCTCAATAAGCATGTTTATTTGGCTCTGAAAAGAGCCGTTGTCACTTGGAGAAGCCTGAGGCTTCATGCAGGTGTTTCTTTACTCCAGCCTACGCAGTTTTGTTTTCAGTCTGGGACCGTCCTCCACCACATAAAACCCTGTGCAGTACTGCTTGAAGGAGACATACTTGCTGCGAGCTATGAGGGCTCTTCAGTGCCTTACATGACCGGTTGCTACTTTCGGGAGGAGGGCATGCTTGGCGAAATAGATGAGCTCTGGCAGCAGCACTCGATCAACAAACTCCTTGTCGAAGGTGATGGTCTCAATGCGTGTTGAGTTGGCAACAGTCTTGTTATTCGTCCAGAGAACAAAATCGCACCACTCGTGTCCGGTCACCGCCATCTGCCCTTGCACCTGGTAGAAGTAGGTGTGAGTTTTCTTAAGGCGTACCAAACCATCCACGACCTTGCAGCAAAACTTTTTGTCCTTAAAGTCCTTTATTGGTGTTAGCCAATCTTCTACGATGGACACTTCACCTCCAAAAGACCCCCTTCATTGTCCTCCTTTACCATGATGCGGTCTGGCGATGCAGCGATGAAGCTGCACTTTGGGCGAATGTGCAGCCCAGTCTCGAGGATCTCGACAGGAGTGTCGAATGCTGCTATAAGTGATGTGTAGGCAGCAACGGCGGTGCCCTCATGTGTCCTCCAATTGCACATGGCCTCACTTGAGGCATCTGGACTCGGGTACAAAATGTCCTTCACCAGGTGCTCGGGCTTGACGCAGTTGATGACAGCAAAGAACACCGACGCTGTAATTCTGCCCTGCCGCTCTTCGTGCCACCTTCCATTGTTGGCTTGACCGATGGTAAACTGGGTCACTTCTTCCCTCTCTTTGTTCGTCAATCTGAAGAGGGACTCTGTGTTTTTCAATTACTCCACAAATCTTCATCGTCTTGAATGGGGAGCACTGGAGTCGCTGGTCCGAGTTGCTGCGCACCCACTGTACAGGAGCCACTGGAGGCCCTGTGTAGCGACACTGAGAGCATCCCGAAGTTGCTAGATCTCTTCAGCCAAAGCAACGCCAACATTCTCGCAGGGTTCAAAGGAGCGCCATCTCTTCTCCTTCACCGGCCTGTTGATGAGGTACTTCTGGAATGTGATGCCCGCAAGTGGCGTCAAGGGAGTAGGCTTCTTGTTTGCAAAGAGAAATTTTGGCTTGTCAGTTCAGTTCTAAATTGAGCTACATCTAGGTTCTCCATTTTGTAATCATGTTAATAGCTTGTCATCCAAGCGGCTTTATGTAGAAAGTGCAAAGTGATAGTTTCATGACTTAATGAAAAAGAACACGAAAAGCATTGGCTGTTTGGTTCCTCATGTTTACCTAGCAATGAGAATGAGCTTCACTAAATAATTTAGACAGCTTGGATGTTGGTAAGTTATTCTCCAATATATTAGGTACAAAGTAAAATGGATTTTATTTTTTTTATGCCTTTGTTATGTTACAAGTTAGTTTTTGCTTCCTTATTATGTGTCTTCATGACCTGTACAGTGAAGAAAGGTTTTCTCAAATTATAAGGCTAAAAGATATATTTTAGGCCTCATCATCTGATAGAAATGTCTCCACGAGCTGGCTATGAGATGGTATCCTTCTTGGGGTATTTGATTGTAGACTGGCCAGAACAGCCAAAGGAAGTTTGTTCATATATGAAAACCTAGCGGGCAATTGGTGTTGAAAGGATATTATGAATGCTCCAAACACAAATCCTTTTTTACTTCCTGAAACCACCAGTCCTTTTTGATTGGGGTATGGGTCCAAGGGGAGGTAAGGGGTCTAGGGTGCTGGTAAACGTTGATCACGTGTTGCATGGCGGGCATCTATTTTGCAAGCACCAGCATGCCATTGTCATTGCTAGTCTGGGCACACCAGCAGACATGCCCATGTACGGTCTTCACCCATGTGTTCAAGACACTGTTCTTCGTCTTGCCTGCAGTGGCCATCTCGTTGTAAATGCCTAGAAATTAGAAAGCATTACTAGCTCAGCTCGTGCCAAGTCTGGAAGACAATGTAGGTAGACATATTATTCGGTCAAAATAGGGTGCTATAGTAAAATCGCATTTGGTCCAGCATGGACAATATCATCAACTTTAGTATACTCTAAGATGATGTTGGAATAATGCCTCATGTATCTTGACAACAAAGCATGTTGCACTACCTTTACATTAACAAATTTCATCTTCGGTTATACTTTGAGTAATTTAACAGGTATTGGAATTCATTTCTCAAATATTGTTAGTTTCTTCGATGTGGCATGAGTCAAACCGGTGCTTGGTGTCAGGGTATCTGTCCATCAGGGCCTTCACCCTAAAGTGCTGTTTAGTCACAAGCTATACACAGACAGTCCCGTGCTCACGATGAAGTCCAGGGAACACTTCATGCCTTCTGTATCCATGTGATTATTCTATTTTACTTCTGTCGATTAGGGTAGGAACAAATTCAGTAAAATGCACACCTCATCCATGCAATGCAATGACATAATTTTATATTTAGCCACTCCTTATGTGAAGAACCTTGACTTATGAGATCTTGTTGAATCTGGCGTGAAGTATTGTGTATGTCCCATACTTTGCTGAGTAGCCAGGTGTGAGTGCACGGCTATTGCCTACCAGGTGGAGCTTGCTGCCTTTCTTGGCTGTCGGGAGGAACTTCTGTTCAGCTTCTCAGGTCTTTGAAAGGAGAAAACTCAATGTCGGGCTCAATCACTGGGCATGTTTAGTCAACTGAAAATCTTTGTTGTCAGCTCTGCTCACTTTTGTAGCAGCAGGAAACACCAAACAGCTCTGAAGCCAGAAGAACAGTGTCTTTCTTAGGACTTACATTTTTATGGAACGAAGAAGGCAAAGAATGTGCGTAGGACTGGCACCAGAGTATGTGATGGCAGCAGGTAGCGGAATGTTGAGGAGTGCCTTGCTGTTGACTCGGGGCTGGTTCTCCCACACAGTCTTGTGTCCTCATGCACATGTAATGACAGCGTGCCTACCCAAGTGAGAATATAAAGTGGTACTTCAAGTGGTATCACTTAGTTTAAAGTGGTACCACTTTGACTGCAAGTGGCAGCACTTTGACTGCAAGTGGTATCACTTGGGTCTGTAAGTGGTACCACTTGAGGCCAAGTGGTGCCACTTGGGCATGGAAGTGGTACCACTTCAGGGCAAATAGTACCACTTGGGCCTATAAGTTGTACCACTTCAGGGCAAATGCTACCATTTAAGTTGCAAGGGGCAAAACTTCCAAGTACCTTAGCTCTGGCTAAAAAGTGCTAAAGATTGGCCCAGAAGTAGCGTCAATGCATTAGACTTGCATGTGCAGAAAGTTGCTTCCATGCATGCCAGAGACTCGCCACCACTATACCACAGCAAAAAATGGCCCCAGCAAGGAAGCAACTTGTATTCATTTTATTCACAGTTTACACTGTGAAGTGCTTCCATAGAGAGCTTGATAGTTTGCTTCTTGTTGCAACTTTTTGCAAAATTACCACCAAGTGAGCTTCAGTCACAAAGCGATTTGGCTTAGCTAAAATTATGACTACTTGCTGATAAAATAAAAAGTATTTCTATTTATGAAAAGTATTAGGTGTGGGAAAAGCAAGTTATATAGCTAAAAACCAAGAGATGGGACACAAGGAATGCATTTAAAAATGTTACCGGAAAAGAGAAATAAGGCTCGGTCATGTGGGTGAGCAACAGAATTGCAAAATTTTAAAAAGATTGCAGATATAATATTAGTGTGCCTAGCGACCAGGAAAACCGGGAATTGTCAGGGAAATTTTAATTACCGGGAAAAATCAGGGAATGGTCGGGGATATTGTCAAAAAGTGAGCCTAGTCAGGGAAAATGAGCCGGAAACGCCATAGAGTGCCCTGAGCAAAGACTTGAGGACTTGGGGGCAGAAAAATAGGCATTAAATTCTGCTAGAGCGGTTCGCGGGCTCTGCTCACCCAATGTAGAGTGTGCTACCCAATACAAAGAGAACAGCCGACAAATCTAGTCCAAGCTTTGGATTGGATTAGATTGGGGGGACAACATTGCGCTTGATCCAGTTAGAGCTACTAGATTTAGTAACAAATGGGAAAGCCGCAGACCCCAATCCAATCCAAGCATTAAGCCGAACGGATCTGAAAGTGTGCATCTGGAAGCCATGGCCATGCACTATGCTGCCATTCGGTTATTGATGTGTGTGGTTGAGTATTGTGTGTTCATTGTGTTTCCGGAAGTGGCCTCTTCAATGACGATGTCGGTGGCAAGGAAGTGCTCAAACCGGACTGGACGAACCCGAATATTTCGGAATATGCAAGTTAGATTAAGCCCATGCAAAATGATGCTCACAGTGCTCAATGCTCAATGCCTTGTGTTGTAATGGTCTTATATATTTCATCGCCTGTACAGTGGTCAGGGAATTTCACCTGAAATTGTCAGGGAAAACCTGGAAAAGCCAGGGAATTTCAAAATAATAACTTGCTAGACACCCTAAATATGGTACAGTGTACAGCATAATAATCTAGACCAGTGGTTGTCAAATGAGGGTCCGCAAAGGTGCTATAGAGGTCTGCGAAACCCTGCCTCATCATTCAAGCCCGGCAATAAAAGTTGTCTTTTTTTAGATTGAAAGGAACATTCTAATTTTCAATTTTCGGGCCTTGTGTGTATGTCAATGAGAGAAGTCTACTTCCCACTAGCTCCACTCGCTCCTCTTTTGCGTAATCATTGCCAACTTTCACAGCTGTCGAGTCTCGTTTCAGGGGGCTAATGTACTGCTCACTGTGAATGACGCAACCACACACCTGCATACGATTGTACTCTTCAACACTGTCCACAATCCCCAGGTTCTCTTGCAGCAGGTGTGTGACATCTTGAGGTGCTTGTTTGGGTCTGCCCAGGAGCTCTGGTGTTGTGTTTCTCTTCATTGTCTTTTGAGAGCAGTGCTTCCTCACTTCTCCTGAGGCCATTGAGAGCAACTGACGAAAGTTGTTTCGGAGGAAAATACGAGACAAGGTCTGAAAAGCGATGCCATTTGCTGAGGTCACCAACTTCAGTAAATGTCCCATATGACTCAAACTCGAAGCAAGAGAGTGTCCACAGTGGTCCATGAAGCAGTACACTTTTTGGCATGTGCACCAACGTGTGCACACGTAGAGGCACTGAGTCATAACAACAAATTTAGTGATTTTCTCCGTACTTTCATGTACATCCTCCTTCGTTACAAGGGTTTTCATGAGCATATCCGTGTAGAACAGTATGTTGTTGTCGCTTTCCCGGAATTTCTCAATTTCGAATGGGACCGATTCTTCCTTAAGCTTTTCTAAGTTGCACTGAGCAAGGATAAGGTTGTCATGTAGTATGTCCAGTTCTTTGCATAGTGTGCTTACTTTCTGCTCAAACAGACTTACTGCTGCCACAAACCCTCCCCCCCCCCTTACTGAATACCCAGACCGGGTATAACAAATGTCATCCAAGTGTGTTATTTATGGGCTCCTACAAATATTGTGTGCAACCCTCATAGAGTAGTAAAAGCATGCAAACTGTCTTTAATTAGTACCTTCTTAGGCAACCATCCACCACTGCCAGCTCACTTGTCCCTCGTTGACGAAGTACCGTGTGAACAGCTCCCGCACTGCTTTGGCGTCGTCGCTGCTGTTGCTTCCTCCTCTTCGAAACCGCCTCATGACTCCAGCGGGAGTCACACCCTGTCTCCATAAGCCGTTTGTACAGTTCCTGCAGGCCATCGAAATAGCATTGTTGAACCACGCATGTTTATGATGAGTTTCACTACTGTAAGCATCTATATCAAACTCAGTTACTAACAATCTTTCTGAACCCTTTCCATTCACCACATCTTTGCATCCAGTTTACTTCAGTGAGCTTGCTTGTGTTAAGTTGTACTTCAGGCTCTGCTCTTAGCTTCCAACCTCTGGCAAGTTCGGCCTCCGTTTCAGACTGCAGCCCTACCTCGTTATGGCTCTTGGCTTGTTGAGTGTGCAGCTCTTTTTGAAGCCTCGATTTGTTCACCTTGCTTGTGGCTAGCTATGCTTGTAGTGCTACAATGGTGTTGCTGCATTTGCAGTTTTGCAGCTTGCTCCTGCAGCTTGCTCCTGCAGCTTGCTCCTGCAGCTCTGGTGACTTGTGTTTGAAGGTTCAGACCGTTGTTCGGGGATAGCATCCCGTGGTGGGTGCCAAATTTTTCTTATCTGCTTGCGCACAGTGTTCATGAACCGTGTTCCTCCCGTTCTGTGGCCGTTGGATGCTAGAGAGTGTGCACAGTAACCGCGGAAGAAGTGCCTTTCTTGAGGGCTTCACCCTCCAAAAGACGAGGACGGATGGCACAGCCGTGTCCCCCTGAAGCTGCCGGCCACTTGCCAGACCTTTCCAGAAATCAGCTTCCACAACATGCTCAGAGCATGCTTTAGTTGTTTTGGGTACTCTGAAATATGCTCTTTCATCCCTCTTGACGACTGCAATACATCTCTTTTAGGACACAGCTCTTAGGCGCCCATTTCCGGCTTGAGCGGCGTCGCCGTCGCCGTAATTGCGCGGTGCATGATTTATTTATTTGATTTATTTGCACTGCACGGGACCCTCGTGACGTGATTCGTGAGGTCACGTGTGACGTCACGAGGGTCCCGTGCGGTGCATAATGGGACATTTCCCATGATGCAACACGCGGGGGGAGGAGGAGGAGGGGAGGAGGGGAGGAGGAGCTTGAAGGATGAGGGGAGGGGAGGAATAGCAGGGAGGATGAGGGGGTAATGGGGAGGGAGGAGGGGTATACCCTCTCCTCAGTACCCTCCCCTCCTCCTTCTCATGAGCTGAGCTCTAATGCGGTGTTACAGGGGGTTGTAAATGTCTTTCATTTGTGTGAAGTTGGTGTTACAGTCGGGAACTTGTGATAGGAAATCTGCAAATGAAGTACCAAGGTGAGCACGTGCATTTGTTACTTTTCACCTGCGTCACATTAACACCGTGAATTGCAGGCTGTGCACCAGTGAACACTACAGGGATATCCATAATAATAGAACTGTATAAAAATGCAGGCGCCTAATGGAGTTTACATTCCACGTGACGATCCTAACGTAGTTCGCACAGCGGCTCACTGTTACCATTCCTGAAGGTCACACGCAAGTTTGACAGCAGTCGCTGAATGACACACCAAATGCACTGACATGGTCAGGTCGTCACGCTCTGCGTGCTGCGCCCGACACAAACACAAACTGTAACAAAAGCAACTCAGCGACATGCGAAGCTCATAAAAATGTCTGTACACATTGACAGAACTACGGTAAAATCACTACCTGTGTGGTTGGCGTGCTGAACGGCCGCCTTGTAGCAACACACTAAGGGCACCTTTTTTACGGAAGAAAAACAAAAAAACTGAAAGTACCGAGAAACTGACCAAGCGACGTGCATAGCTTAAAAGATTGTTTAAATAAGTCGCATGACTAAACATTCAAACAATGTGACACATACAAACCTTTTGTCTGGAACTTGTTCACGTATCCGTACCGCTTACAGAGCTGTACGCAGCAGTGGGTAGGCATCTTGTTTCACATTCTCAAAACTGTGTAAGCAGCTTGGAAAAAAAGAGCAAACAATTTAAGTTTGTCAATTTAAACGCAGCTGGATAGTACAGCAGTGGAGCGCTTCCTTTCTAGTGATGTCGGATTCAGATTTGAATTTACTGGTGTCCCCTTTGTATTGGGTGGCCACTTGCCAGTAGTTCTGGTGAGGGCCTGCCAAAACGCAGCTTGGCTGGGCTCATTAAGTGCCAACACTAGCCGGGTTTCTCTTCGTCTCCTTCGTTCTCGGGTGGGTGTCTGCAGGTTTGGGCCCGTCTGCCTTTGACTCTCCCAGCTTCACCAGGAACACTCCCACCACTGCTCTAGCAGACATCAAACAATGACATTAACAGGTCGTCGGTCACTCTCCTAAGTTTCTTTGTTTCAGAGCTTTGTGGAAAAACCTGGACGCAGCAGTCAGGCCTTCATAAGCGACTCCCTCCTCCGTCCAACCCACTGTCACCCGTGACCAAGATGGACCTGAAATATCGGGGAATTTCATTTTTATTAAACTTTAATAGACTGACTGAAATTTGAAACTCTAACCATTTTCCTAACCAGACAGATTTCTGTCAAAGATGTTTACGTAGCAATAGTAACTGATGACAGCTTTTCGGTTCTAAGAAAAAAACAGGAAAATTTTTCGATTGCTTGTTCATATTAACAGTGCACTGCTCTGTTCAGTGCTTATCAGCTGGGCCTCTTTTCAGAAATAGGTTGTCCTCATGGTTTTCACTGATCGCTCAGCAAAATGCAGAGAAGCTCAAGTTTAAAACGACAATGAAAGGATAGACAAAAACAATACCATCACAAACCTTAGATTAAAAAATGCCTGTTGCCTGCAAACATTTTGTCAGAAAATGAGGAGCTTGGCATAGGTTAAATTTTCCTAGCTCTGTGAACAGAAAAAAAATACTTGTTAGGCGAGCGAATGCGTCGGTCGCACCCCTTTGCAACTGCAGGATTTCTTCTAGTGCTGCACGGATGTGGTGCTGTGCAGCCAGCAGCTGAAGCTAAGCAGCCAGCTGCTGCTGCTGTGTGGCCAGCAGGTCCCTGGCCATGCATGCTTGCCCAGGCCGTGGTCGTACGGAACGAGGAGGCAGGGTGCATGGCAGCTGGTGTACTGCCAACACAAAGCACATTTTCATGTGATTCAAGATATGTAATTTTGTGTTTCCTCATACCATCTTGTTGCGGTGAACCTGCCACCTCCACAGGCAATGCTGCATCTGGCGCGTCCTTGGCCTCGCTGTCTTCTGCTGCTTCTGCTGGGGAGTCCTGTATATTTGGTTAAACTGGTGTTATCATGTTGTCAATGCTCTTGGTTTTAGCCCATGTCTTTGCACTAGTTTTTTTTAAAGATTGAACGAGCAACTGACCTGATCGTCAATGTTTATCGAGTCAGAAAAACATTACATCAACTGGTGTGTTTTTCCACAGTTATGAGTCGATGTTCTGTACAGTATATCCAGTCATTACTGTACAGTTGTCAGGATGAACTGTGGCATTTCTGACAGCCCTAACAACACATGCTGCATTTTCTGTTCACAATTCCCACACCACGAGGTCAGACACTGGTGCCTCAGCTACACCTGCGATTCCAAGTACTTAGCGTGGCTGCAGCCGATGGGCCAGGCTGTGGCGTTGGGCGAGGTGCCACCGGTGCCAGGCGCCTTCCCCCACGGCCTCGGGAGGAATCCGTCCCCACAAGGGACAATATTCTTTCCTCTTCGGCGTTTAACGGAGGGACGGGGTTGGCACCCCCACTGCTGCGCGCACACGTGCATTCCAGGACTCCTTCCATTCGGCCTGGCTTTTAACAGATGGGCCCTCGACATTTAGCTCTTGGACAGTGATGTGCCACAGGGCAGTTCGGTCTTCCTCAGATAGTGGACTATCTGTGGTGGCCCTCACAAGGACTGGGTTCGCCAACAGATAGTAGAGGAGTAGGGCGAACTGCCTCACAGAGACACGGGCCCTGAGCCTTTTCTTAGCGGCGTTGTCGGCGATGGCCGTGGTTCTGAGTCTGAACCTCTGAACCGTAGTCAGAGACTTTAAACTACCAAATGCTGGGGTCGATTAAAAACCGCGAGGTCTTGTCAAAAACAAACTCCAGAATCCAGATTTTCCAACGTTGTCAAGATCCCGATCTTCACAAACGGCTGCAATCCATGGGAAAAGTTACCATTGTCACTCAAGTTAAATACATAATTGGTGGATGCAGAATTCAGCTTATGTTATTCTATTTCAATTGAAACCGGTACAATGTGTTTCCAACTTAAAAATAATATTTTTTACAATTCCCTTCACTGCAGTGTTTCAAAGTTCCCTCTAAGGACAGTTTTTGAAAGAATTCTCAATGAAGTTTCAACTTAATTGTTTCTGTTGACCGACGTCATGATAAGGTTGGCTCTCCAGTGGAGTTTAGCGGTGATGAAGTTGAGGCTTCTTCCACCGGCGACGTCGCAATGAAGTTTCTGCATCGCTTTTTTCAGCATACACAGACAACCCTCCACTCATTGAATTTTTCTTACGGTGTATTGAAGATATTTTTTCTCTGTACATGAAAGTGATGCTCTATTCCGTATGCTCTTCCGTATGCACAAAGTTGTTGGGACTGATAAAACTGGTGCCTTCTTGAGAACTACGACTTTGTCAGAAAGTCACTTTCTGATTTGATCTACTAGCGTGGTAATAAATCTTGAGCACCTTTCTCGCATCGAGAGAGGACCCGTTGGTCTTCATGTTGTCAATGTACACTCTCCGGCAATATGAAAGACCCACTGGGAGCGCGTGGCCGAGGCGGTGGCTGGCGGGGGCGCTGCGAGCCCTCCGGGCAATTCCATTCTGCTTCGAGGGGAGGACGCTCACTCGGGCTCAGATAAAGCGAAACGCGCTTATCAGTTTGTGCCGAGTGCCGAATGAGCGTCCTCCCCTCGAAGCAGAATGGAACTGCCCGGAGCGCTCGCAGCGCCCCCACCAGCCAGCGCCTCGGCCACGCGCTCCCAGTGGGTCTTTCATAACGCCGGAGACTGTACGTCTCACACAGGTAGCCCAGAAATAGGGTCTAAGTGGTCCTCAAGTCTGGACGTCAGAACATCCATCTGTCCTGTCAGAATGACAACTTTTTGAACCAAGCTTGAAAGCAAAGTCGAGGTCTTTTAGCAGCTTTGTTTTAGTCGCATCTTTCGCCTCGAATTTCTTGCCTTTTTCAAAGGATTCACATCTTTTACCTTTTTCGCAAAACATTAATCACTGCTAATATCTTTCAACTCCTTTTTGGCATTACAGAACCTACAGGTTTGTCACCTACTGGAAGTTTGTCTGGTGGGTGTGGAAGAGATTGGGGAGATTCAACAGGGTGCAACTTGCGTGCTGCGTGGTGGCGAAGATAAGGAAGCACTTCCCTTCAGCCACATAGTCTTCCAGTACTCCTATTGCCAGAACCTTGAGACGTGGGCTCTGATGGTGACTTTTTTGTCTGGCCTATTAGCTGCGCTGCACAAGGAGGAAATAAGGGCCGTTGCAACGCAGTGGAACCTAGCTGCTGCTGGCCAAGTTTTCACTTACC